AAAAACATACCCAAAGCCTTGCTTTGACTCATTCATGCATGTTTGAGAAATCCTGCAGCGTTTTTAGGAAGCCATGCTGAGGAGCAAAACAACAGGTGGGGACCAGAAACGCCTTTTGGGACCAGGAACGCCCCAGGGGCGTGTCTTTAAGCCAAACTTCCTCCACACACACACACACCCATGACTCCTGCAGGCTCTCGGGTGAAAGTGAAACCTAACTGTCTGCTGAGCTCTCAACATTAGTTTGATGAAATGTATTTTCAGATGCCAACTGCCCCCCGCGCAATGAGATGGGCAAAACAGAAGCAGAAGGAGGTTCTTAAAGAGACAGAGGCCAATTTCAAGGCGTTTAGAAGAGGAAGTGATAAGATAAGTTTATTTTCTATTTAAAACATAAAAACAGCATTTTAATAACAGCTAAAGGTGACATAGATACTTTATTAATACATAGTATTTAAATATATGCCTGAGAAACACATTATATCGGCCCTTTAAAACTAGTCAGAGATCCCTTTAGAACCCAAGGGCAGTGGGAGGTTAGGAAGTCATACGTGACTGTCTGAATACCTGGTCGTAGGAGACGGGCGTCTGGCGATGGTTGGACAGCTCCACTAGCGTGCTCAGATCAGTGCGCAGGTCTGATTTGCAGCCAACTAAAAGCATCTTAGTGTTTGGACAAAACTCCTGGATCTCCCCTTTCCACTGTGGAGAAACACAAACGACGGTTGAACCAGAAAGCAGAGACATATCTAAAACGTGCAGGACAGTGGCCCTCGAGGACCAAGATTGGACACTAGAGAGGGTCTAAAACTGATTGTTTTACTGCAAAAATGGCCAAATCAGCAATAAAACCTATACAGGAACTTAGACTAGAACATCCTGACGAGACATTTCAYGAAATCCAACCCACCCAGTCACCTGGTCTTTAAGTGCTAGGGTAAAAACTGGCACTTCCTGGAGCCATGTGCATGTTGGAAAAAAAAGGAAAGGAGCTACAAATAATCCCCGAACAATAACTGCTCTGATCAATGGCATTTCTCAGGAGGATTTAATCTGAGGCTAATGCGCCTCTGGACCGGCTGCAGGTCAGAGGATCAAGTTCATTAACACACAGACAGGAAGTTGTTCAGCACAATGCATCTACACAAACGTTTCTTCATTAAAACATCTCAACTGACTCAGGCTGAAATCTAATCTTCAGGTTTCTATAAAACCACAAGTACAACTCACATATTTGTGGTATAATTTGCTTTAAAGACTTGGACGTTGAGATCCCTCAGTGCATCTGGCATTGAAAAACCTGAGCTGCATCTGAGACCAGAGGGTTAGTGTTTCAGTTTTCATGTCCTTGGGGGGATGACGGTCTACATTCTTGCTTTAAGTCAAATAAACAAGACGAGGAGCTCTGGTGGACCCTCGATGTGAGTCCTCATTTACTCAAAATGAGCCTTCTGTCAGATGGTGTCTGATAGGTTCTGTCAGGATTGGGCCCAAAACTCTGGAGCAGCCAAGGTTAGCGTGTGTGGGACTACCTGGTTCTTCAAACCAGAAGAAAATTTTATGATTGAAAAAATTGTATTAGAGAAAAAAAAAGTTTCTGGGTTCCAGCATGGGCTTTAGCTTGCATCAGAACAGCTTTAAAAACAACTCCACTAAAACCAGAAGCTGATCTGGTTTGAGTCATTCTGCTGGACTGGTGGACCGTGAGCCGGCACCACGAGTCAGTCAGCGTTAACCACCAGGCAGCTTCACTCGAGTTACTGGAGGTTTGGACTTCCAGCCTCACTGAGGATTAAACACAACCTGCCTCCCAGATCCAGAACCACGACCCGCTCCACATCACAAGGTCCAGTGTGACCACAGACATGTCTGACTGTGGTGTTTATGTCTCAGTTCTGGTAAAACCAGCAGTTTGTCTGTTAAACATTCAGGTAAAATACTAGTTTTCACTGTTATTAGTGTGTATTATTAATGTGTACCAATGTAGTATTAATACTACTAGTAGTACTAATAATACTATAATTAGTACCATTAATGTACTAGAACTACCTGTACTCAACTACTACACAACTAGTAACAGTACTTCCAATAGTACTACTATTAATATAGCATTAGTACTTCTAGTAATAATTATAATAGTACCACTATAAAACTAGTAAGAATACTGGTAAAGTAATAATACAAATATTAGTTGTACTAGTATAATACTTAAGGTACTGGTACAAGTTTAGTAATTGTACTGGTACTACTAGTACTGCTGTTAGTATAGTAATAGTGATTTATTACTTTCTCAACTTTATTTAGTACTTTCTTAGTAATAGTACAAGTGCTATTATTATTGTTATTATTGTTATTATTATTATTATTATTAGTAGTAGTAGTAGTAGTAGAGCAATATTAATACAGTACTAGAACCATGAATAGTACTACTAGTAGTAGTATATTAATACTAGTGCAAGTATGATTATTTGTTTAGTATTATTGGAAGTTGTACTAATACTACTAGTATTACTCCAGTAGTAATATAGTAGCAGTATTCGTATAGTGCTAGAATGATTATTATCAATACTCATAGCACTGATGCTTTAATGGTACTTGTAGTAACAGGGATAGTACTTGCAGTACTAAAATTGGTAATATTACTAGTATAGCTTTGCTACTAATATAGCAATGGAACTACAACTACTACAAGTACAATTAGCAGTACTAATAAAATACAAATACTATTAGTACTAGTACTTTGCTTGTAGACAGATATTTCAGTTGTTTAAATATCTGCTTCAGCAGATTTATAAGCTGATTTAAGTAAAAGTTAATTGCATGTTATGCCAATGTGGGTGTTTTTTTAAGAAAAAGCTTTACTAGTTTCCTTTGTCAAAGAAGCTAAAATTTATTTTAAGTTTGGCTCAGCTTGTAGAGATTTCTTGCTCTGAATGTGGCACAGAGTTGTTTTTATTGGTTATCAGGTGTGTATTGTTTGTTTGTTTATGACTTGTTTATTCAAGAACCCAATCAATGACAAGAAACCAACCTTTTTCAAAACACTGTCAAGGGTTTCCGGTCTGCTGATGTCAAAACAGATGAGGACAGCATCGGAGTCCGGATAGGAGAGGGGCCTCACATTGTCGTAATAGGGGGATCCTAGAAAAAAAAAAAGACCAGAGAAATTTGAATCACAAAAAAAAAAAAAAAAAAAAACCCTGGAGGTTACATTCAGGTTTGTCAGAGGCTGAAAGCAAATCTACAGAAAACCTGGAAAAAAGGTTTAATCAGCACAAAGAGTAAATCACTGCTTACACTCCTTGATAGATAATCTCATATGACACGACTCCAGTTAAACTATAATCCATAGCAACACGGAGAGAAAACAAACAGTGTGGCAAGAGCAGAAAAATGTGCTGAATGTGCAAGATAACCTGCTAAAAGAAGAGAGAAACTGGGAACTTTAGAGTGAAGAAATGTCTCCCTTCTTCAATTGAAACCATGTGCKAAGGAAACGCCCAGCGCTCTGCCAGATTGAAGCGCCTCCAGAGAGGAAGGGCAACGATGAAAGGAAAAAAAAGGGGGAGGAGAGGAGTGTCATTTTATCAAGGTGGGTCAGGATCCCATGACAAGCAAGAAACAACCACGAGCAACAAGCTGCTAAGAATCTATGGAATTCTGTGTTTGGGAACTGAAGACTCCCCCGGGAGATTTTCTCCAAAGCCTGGTGCAAAAAAACACAGGAATGCTTGCACACACAAAAGATGTCTTTTAAACCGCTTCACTGCTTCAATTTTTATAACATTCAAAACTCAAAGTTTTTAATTTTGTAAGGTTTTATGAACAGAAGTGCCATTTAAAAAGGGATCCACGATTAGTTGTAACATTAGACTTTATTTAATAAACATATATTTTAACTGTAAAATAAAGACTGTAAAAATACTGT